ACGATTTTTAACGATCTTCTCCTAACATTCTTAACGTCACTCGCACTTGCGCTTTTCTAACGGTTACTGCGACCACTTTACCTCAACATTCGACTATCATAAACCGTCATTGCTTGTCTCTTCTCCTAACTCTTCACATTTTGGACCGCAGACTTGCATTTCCCATCAAACCGCTTGCTTCGTCTCTACACACGGGTCGAGTACACACGGACTCCGCGCGCCGCTATCACAGCAGCCTGAGCGTGCGACTGTCTGTTCAGCATGACGTCACTCCCAACGGGATGCCATAAATAAACCTCGCACACTACCCACCCTCACTCACTCGCTTACACTTCAGGCAGACCTGTAGATAACAACGCTCTTTGGACAGATTGAATATACCTTATTTGAAAACAACGCGAAAAAACTGTAACTCCCTCTCGGCGCACTCGCGTCCTCTCGCCCCGCGGACGACACCCCCCCCCCTCGCAACTCCTACACCTACTCTAGGAACTAGCATTGATTAACAGCTTTAATAGGACACCACACGGAATCTCAGCTTGTCTGGCTTCAGCATTAGAGGAGGGGCAGGAGGAAGGCTACTCGCGCGCTCTCTTCTGTTTCTCTCGCGTCGCTCTCTCTTTAACCGCTCAGACGCTCTCTCCGCTCTCCTCACATGTGATGCTCAGAAGACGAATGAACGGGTTTAATACCAACAGCTCGCTTCTTATGAGTGAAGCTGGACTTCTCAACTTATCATTGAACTTCTTCTGACACCATGCAAGTCTTCTGTCTTGTTCTGCCTCTCAAATGCATTCAAGTCCAAGACACACTAAGGAAAGTAAACAAACAAGTGATTATAGAAGTCTACTTGACTGTCTGCACAGAAATTCCTTTTTTGTGGTACAGATTATATAACAGACACTGCAAGACGTGCATCAGTCCTGAGAGACGACCGTTTGCAGAAAAAGCCCTGACTCCGTCTCTTTTTCTCTCTTTCAGGATACATGATCACGCATTCATCTGTCATTTCCTGAGGACACACCACTCATAACAGATTAACCTGCTATACTCTCTTATTACCCTACATCTCAAAGAACTATAGCTGCACTCGCGTTCATAGGATTATGTTGTACATGAACTATTACATACAAATCTGGAGATGGATGGTTTGGATATGCAGTGATACACTCTATATCGTTACAGAAGGTATACATGACATTTGTAGCTCCAGTTGCAATCCTTTTGCAGCCTGCCATAAATCTCACCCGCTGCCCGTTGCTGCACTTGCATCGATTGCCACCATTTAAAAATGGGAAGATTCCAGCTTTTGGAGGGTGCAGGTCACCATGGGGTCCAAACGACCTGATGAGACAAGGAGTCGGACGCTCAGATAAAAAGACTAAGTCCACGACAACATTCAGAGGCAGGTTTGTCCTGATAACCCTAACCAACTAATCTCTCTTGCAACAAGTCAGATACTTTTGCAAAATGACATGTGTGCCTTTGTTCTGTAATAATCCGACCAGCTGGGCTCAGGTCGTAAAGACTTCGACTGTGCGCGCGTAGGGGTCGCCGGTTCAAGTCCCGAACAGACCTAAATATGAGTGTGGACTGCTACTTGGAGAGGTCCAGTTCACCTCCTGGGCCCTGCTCGTGGTGCCCTTGAAGCAAGGCACCGGACAACCCCTCTCCTGTAACTGGACGCTCACGGTTTTGCTTAGATGCTTGAACTTTGTTTTAATTTTGTTGAAATTATACAGAGTTCACTTTCCGGAAGTCATGTGACCTCTAGCCCGGATGTTTATATCGTGTTTTAAGATGAGACAGTAGAAGGCGCTAAAAGTGTCAACGATGTATATAACATAAATTCTACTGCTGGTCTAGCTAGGCGAACACGTTTTCTCGCTGTGTTTCATAATTTTACAAAGAAGAAAATAAACGTGATTGTGGAATCTGTTCGATGCGTAATGTTCTTCAAGACCAGAGTAGTTAACTTCCCCCCCCACTGCCCATTGCTCCCCGGGCGCGTGTTCAATAGCTGCCCACTGCTCCTAGTACTAGACTAGTACTAGGATGGGTTAAAAGGAGAGAGGCCAAATGTCACTGTGTGCTCTGCATGTGCTGACCATCTAAGGAGGGGTTTCATCCCTCCGATTCCAGATTCTAATGGCAAGGTTACATTTAAAAAGGTATCAAAAACACACTTTTTGATTGTATTTACCTGTTATTTGAAGTGAATTTTAGTTTTTAGGATGACTTTCAACATCTGTCCAGGGACTACAGACGAAAAATAACCTGTTGGCTAACTCTGTCGCATTTACAGAAATGTCAATCAATGTGCACTGTCCCTATCAAATACATATATAAATAAATAAATAGCTGCTTAGGGTTAGCAGTAAAATGGTCTAATAAGTATTAATTGTTGTCCCTATTTTCATCAGCACTGTAAAACATGCATTTGGACCTCATGGGGTCCCATGTCATTTTGAGATACCTCAAAAGAGTCAAACGTATATCACCAAGGTGAACCTCAGAAAATTATGGCAGCAAATTAAATGTAAACTAATATCAAAGGGTTCAAGAGGTTGAACAGTCAACGAAAATGCCGTCTTCAGGGGAAAAAGCTTTTAAAGTAACAGAATCATTTTTCTTTAAGCTGCCGGCAGAATGTTGAAGCACAGGAACGTTGAGCCTTATCATCGTTACCTTTACTGGCGCTGATCATCTGCAGCACCATCTCTGCGGCCCCGCGGGCGTGCAGCCTCATCTGCTGATACAGGATCTTCTGCTTCTCCATCTCTTTCTCCTGAGCAGCCACACACACAGCAGCCACGATGATCAATCAGCATGAACCTCTTGTTTCTTCACAGGTAACAGATATTAACGTTTCTGGTGAACGGTGAGTTATTGGCTAAAGGACCAGCGCGAGAGCATACCTCAAAAGTCTTTTCTTTTCCTTCTACTTCCTCTTCTTCTTCCTCCTCATCATCCTCTGCACAGCTCTGAAGACACAAAAGGCAACATTCATTCACAACTCCATTTTCATGTTAACTCAAGTCTTACTAGATTTATTTTTACATAAAAGGAACTTGGTCCTACCTTCGCCATCATGTCTGCATACGCTATATACAAAGGGTCTTCTTCCAAGTAACTAAAAAGAAGTGAAAGGTAAGTCACAATTTATAAAGTCAACTATAGATATTCAAACTATATTTTATAACACAACATGCAAAAAGAGTACGCACTGCAACTATGGATTATTTGTTTCATCTATCAATCCTTTCATTATTTACTCGATTAATGAATTAGTTGTTGGTCTATAAAATGTGATAAACTCATTTATGAACTCGACAGCATTTTAAAAGCATGCTCATTGTAACATTGACTTCAGTGGTTGAACTCCCTCACCTTCTCTCTGTCAGAGCGTTGTGGCTGAAGTGGAGGATGAGTTGGTGGAGAGGGTCTGGTTGGACCTCAGCCACCTCCTCTTCCTCTTCCTCCACAATTTTCATCGGGGTTTTCTGCAGGAGTCCACAGGTGTGAATAGTTAGCTCTGCCCAAGTCTGATCTGATCATTAAATCGTCCCTCTCAGGAAATATCTTTGTTCTTAATCTTCACAAACTTACTGACCATTGTGCACATTAACACATTTGTCAAAAAACATTCAAATAAGTCAGAAACATTCAACTAGCACCGGCATGCAGATGAGTTTTTGTCATGTTCAGGCGATCCGTGGAAAGGACAGGGCGAGGAAGTTAAGAGTGGAAGATGAACAGCACTGGAAACATTTCTCAAATACATGCAAGTTACAGCAAACAGATGCAAGCAGTCAGCACATTGGTGATATGACTGAACATGGAGAATGACCCTGACGGTATAAGAGCCTGACAACAGCTACACAAACTAAGCAGACAGATTTGTAAAATAAATCTGACACTAATAAAAAATAACCTTCCCCAACAACAAGCTGCTGTATCTAAGGCTGTGCTTAATTCAATGGTTTTTGTGTCTTGATGAATTTGCTAGATCTAATATGAAATGTGATCTCCACGTCACTACGCGAGCATGCCACTGACGTCACGGCCACAGAACGTACTGTAACGCCACCTTCACACTTACACTACAGACTTACAGAGTACAGCGAAAAGACAACTGATGGGTTGGATCCAGATCTGACAGCCAAACAGCTAGAGACTCCTAGTGAATGGCCCTCCTTACCACTGCGGTCAGAAAGGCAAAGCCTGCTTTTCTACAGCTGTGAGCGCCGGAGCTGGCCCTGTGTCTCCTGAGTTGGTCATGCAGCCTCTGACCCCTGACGGATCTCAGTTTGGATGCTTTTGCGCGCTTAGAGCGGGGGCCGCCCCTGGGTGCTTTGGGCGAGGTCCCCACCCGGGCGCGCTCCCAAGGCTCGACGGGCGCGGAGCTAAAGAAGCATTCGGCAGACAGGACTGGCAGAGGGGGGCCAACGCAGGGCACGTGGGGCAAGGGCAAGGCGAGCCCAGTACTTACTGCCAGATCCTGTACTAGCTTCTCCTCAAAGGAGTATTCCTCTGCCTCTATCCAAAGTCTCTGATAGGCCGGGATGAAGAAGTTGATAGCGCGATGCCTGGGGAGGGGGGAGGTATGGAGGGGAGTGGGGAGGGAGGTACAGTGGCATTAGGGCGGGTACTGGTGAGTTTTTGGAGGAGACAGGAAGGAGAGATGTCAGGGGAAGGAAGGGGTTACAGGAAGTGCATTTCAGGCAGGGTGGTGATTGGTCAATGTGGGACCCACTGGCTCTTCTGACTGGTCATATTTGGTCTATAAAACAACTGCAGTTCTTTTTGTAAAGTTGTAAAATTCATTAGAGGAGCATGCACATTTTAGGGGGGATGTGCAGTTTTCCAACAGACCAGTGCTTTAACAGATTTTCTTCGTGCAATTTTTTTGAATTGATATCATATATTTTCTTTGACAAAGCTGCACGGATATGTTGTAAAACTGCACAACCTTTGGCAAAATGTCAAATAAAGAAATCATCATAATGGCAGGAAGCAAAATAACATAAAACAACTTTAATACTGTTTATTACTACTAATTTAATTGATTTCTTTCTGTCTTTCTTCTTCTCTCCTTTCTTCATTCCTTCCTTCAGAGTACACCTGAAATGAGACAAAAGCCTGCAGCTCGCAGTTTGTTTCCACTTTCCAAATAACTTTGTTACAGTCAATTCTTTGGCTCTTTCTAGCTGACCAATCAGAATCAACAGTGCAGAAACAATCGGTTGCTGGGCAGAGTTCAGTCCACAGCCTGGTGGATGAAGGGGGGGTTGAACAGATGAAGCATTCGCCCTGTAGTTTCACTTTACCGTCAGCAAGGAGAACAGGCGGTCAAAGCTGGAGGCTTTGAACGCCCTTTCCAGCCAAACCTCCCGATAGCCATTCAGGAAGTAATTATTATTTTTGTATCTGAGGGAGGATGAGGTAGTATTATGCAAGAAAACAAACCAGAGGAGAGAATGTCATTAGGGCGGCGATGAGGGGTTTACATGGGCACACAATCAAGAAAAATAATGCCCATGATTACTTGGTGGTTGATTGTTATGTACGGTTAGATTGAAACAAAAACAATGTCTATTTCTTTATTGACATTGTATTTACGTTTCAGAAATCCACACAAAGTGTAAAGAAAACCCTCACCTAGGTAGATTGTAGAGAGGAGCCATCCGGAAACAGGCCACCACAGCACGCTTACGCTGTTTGGACAGCAGCTTATGGTACACAAGCTTCTTATTCCTCAGAGGCTGCTCCACCTGAGGGACGAGACAAGACGACAGCCAAATGAAAATTGGAAGGTGCTTGAAACTGTATTATGTAAAAGAAAATACTAAACTTAAAATTGTATAGAAAACTAAAAACAGCATATTCTAATCTGCTATTTCTTATCTTCTCATTTCTGCCAATTGTATTTTTTTTAATACGTTATCATTTACACATATGTTTTATTTTTTTATTTCATTTTAATTGTTATAATTATGTATTATTACATAAGTGTTTTTAAGTTACTTTTTAAATATTACTATCGCTCCATGTATAGAGGTATTCACTATGTACATTTACCTGCGTTAAATATTATTAAAATCAACTGTAAAAAAACGAATTATTTAAAAGATAAAACAAGTGAATCATAGTCATCTCTTTCTGAAAACAGCAACTAATAAATTAGCATAGAGGAGGTGTTTAATTTCTGTAGATTGTTTAATAATTGACCACTTGAAAGTACTCACATAATTAGAACACTCACATAAGCAACCTTTTGTTCCCTTACCTATAATGTCTTACCCAAGTGATTACTGTCGTGTCAAATTATCTTTGATCTACTTCTACATATGAAAAGCAGATACTGCAGATGCCTTTCTTCTTCATCCTGTTGTATTGCTGTGAGAGCTGTGTGTCTACCTGCTCCAGGTGGAAGACAGCAGCTGAGATGCTCTGCACTCGGTCCACGGTGTGTTCTAAGTTAGCGGGTTCCTCGCTCTTCACCACCACGTCTTTGTACAGGTTCATCTGCCACTGGACCGCCGGGTCTTCACACTACAGCACAATAACATCAATAGATAAACAGCAGCTTTGAAAGGATATTACTCAAACCGCACACAAAACACGATCTCACCTTGTCCTGGAGATGGAAATTCAGGCGCAAGTGTTCCTTCACCTCGTCATCTGTTTCTTTCTATGAAGGGTATTCAAAAGAAAGAAAATGCAATGAAAATATAGCTTTCATATTTGTAGTTCTATAAACACTGAATGCCTATAGCACCAAAGCTGGTTAACCTCTGACTGACATAATGAAATAGAAGCTGAGGTCTGTAAAGCCAATAAAGACAATAGTGACCACTGTGAGTTAAAGTACAGAAACATGTACACACAGTACTTCTGGTGAAGAGGCACCACTCTGGCTTAATCTGCAGCAGTGGTTCTCAACTGGTCAGGCCTCGGGACCCACTTTTTTCCTTTGTCAATAAATCACGACCCGAAATTTTGAACCACTCAAATCTATTCAATAAAAATTTTGTTTTTTGCTTTTCAGCGTATCATATTAATTACAATGAAGTACAGTGCATATATCCCTTATATCCCTTCACAGAACTAAATAATACTTTTAAAAAAGGTTTAATGTGATGATGGATCAGAAAACCCAACCCCAACAGGGGGTCTGGGGGGATTCTCCCCCAGGAGATTTTTAGAAATACTAACAAATAAACTACCAATTCTGGTACACTCTGAGAAGAAAATAAATAAATCTATTGCTACCCGACATATTAATATTTTATGCCATTGTTTGTTTTTCACTTTGTTCTGACAGCTTGCTGCTCCACACAGAGAGAAGAGCAAAGAGGAGATACATAATAATAATAATAATAATAATAATAATAATAATGCATTACATTTTTGTCTGTGTGTTTTGTCTGTGTCTGTGTGAATTACTTTAAATTGTGGGTAAGGGTAGATAGCCCCCATTGTTCTGTGACCTGTCAATCATCAAACCTGGGGACATATTTCATTATGTGTTCATTTTTATCTGAATTTGTACCCATGGATGTATAAAGAATAGTTCTACCGCAAAGTTATTCTCCGTGGGGACTTCCGCCAACAATCTTGATTCTGATTGGCCAGAAGACTCGAAAAAACATCAGCAAAGATGTTTTATTGAGTAGATGATCACTACGGGACAGACATTTTCAAAGCCGTTTATGGTCTCCGGTACTTCCTGTCCAACGCCTACTGCATGCACAGCGTTAGAAAATTGGGCCAAAGTTTGACTTTTCCCCCAATCTTTTTCAATTTTTGTATTATCACCCGCTCGAAACGGGTCCTCGACCCACCAGTTGAGAACCACTGATCTACAGTATATGTACGGTTAGATGATTTTGAAAGTTGAACTTTTCTAAAAGGTACAAATTCATTAATATCATCTATGATTGAATCAAATGATAAGACCTTTAAGATAAGGCCCAATAAGGACAGAGTAATAAGAGATAGGGTACATGTGGGACGTACGGCATAAACAAGTGAACTTTCAAATGAAACTAGTCTAATAACTTTAGCTCTAGGTCGTGTTTTTGTCAGCTCACCAGACTGTAGCGTATCTTGGCGAGGGAGATGAGCTCCTGGTCTCCGGGCGTGCACATGTTGAGGCCGATGGGCAGCAGCTTCTTCAGGGCCGCCACGATCAGCGACGTCTGGACGGAGTAATACTCGCCGCGGCGCCGCTTGTGTTTCCGCTCCTGGTCGCCTCCTGACTACAAAGACAAAGAAGACAATGATATCATGACGACACACTGCTGTTTTCCCTACAATAGCTTCATCTTGTCCTATATTGTATTTTAATGTAGAATCATCCTATTTTATCTACTTGTTGGCTTGTTTTATGTCAATGTTATAATTGTTTGCTTTTATGTAGAGCACTTTGTTGTGCATGACCAGCCCTATAGAAAATAAGATCCATTACTACAAACTGCATTTTAAGCCATTTTCAAATGTTGTACTCCACCAAACAGGAATACAAAAAGTAGTATGAATTGTTTTTGACTGCCTAAATAGAAATGAAAGTGTATTGAATCCATAAAGGCAAAATGCTTTTTATTCACCTAGGCAAAGTTAAGAGACTTTACCTTCATATTTCCAAAAAAGCACTCAAACACAGTTTAGACAGCACAAGAAGGGTGTTTCACCCCTGAACAATCAATTCGGATTCATTACATACCATTACCAAAAGTCTTTCTACATAAATCAGACCTTCAAGATCAAGAGCGGAGGTTTTTCGGGTCTGCCAAAACAAATAAACAACAAACACTCACAGTGACCGCTAGCTGAGTGGCTGCTGCACCAATCACTGTCAACATCCAGATATATGACCCACCTATAACCCAACTATGGTAAATACCTCACAGCGTGTCGTAAACCCTCGCTATAAAGGGGCATTTAAGAGGTGTGAACTCATACAGTTGAATTGAAGAACATCCTACATCTACATACTCCGCTTGTTCAGCACGTGTCAGGGAATCGATTAAAAACACAGGAACAAAGCGGAGAAGGACTTTCCCTTTCATTATGAGAGTCTGTGAAATACACTAGAAAGAAAGGGAGCCATTGGGGATCCTGTCGGGAAATATTCACGTTGTGTTCAGCTTTTCGCTTTTCGAGCCGTCAGGGCCTATAGATAAGATATTCTACAAAATAATATTTAAAAACATTAAAAAATATATATTTATTTTTAATATATTTAAAAAAAAAATTGTTTAGTTATATTTTTCATCAGTTTTACCAAAACAACTGCATTTAATTGTATTTAAAATAACATTTCCAAATGAATAAATCCTTCGAATCTGCCTATTCAGTTTCTGTTTGAATGTGAAGGGTTAAATGAAAGAAGCTCCTTTAGCCTTCTCTGGAAGTTACTGTGAAGACA